TCAATGTCTGTGATTGCTGGCTGGTCTATTTATGAAGGCTTGTTAACAAATATCCTACAAACACAGAAAAAAAGGAATCGCAAGCCGAACTGGATTTAGGAGCAAGATTTGTTGCTGGCCCAGTTGGTGAACGAACATAAAGGTATGTTACGAGGAAAATTTGGCCCAACTGTCACTAGCCAAGGCAAGATGTGCGCCTGGGACACAATATCCCAAACAATCAATGCCTCTTTTCCACTGGTGGTGCGGACAGGCGACGATTGTGAGAAAAGGTGGTATGTGCTGCAGTCCAAGGCAAAAGATGAGATTGCAGCACACAAGCAGGAATCCTCACTCACAGGTGAGCAAAATACTATATAGCCTACCACATAATCTGGCAACTTGCTCCTGCTGGCAAAGTTAATTTACATGCCTAAGTACAGTGTTCATTGACTGTTTCTTTCTAGGGGGTGGACCACCTGCAAAGCGGCTGTCCCAAGTGGCCGACACTGTCTTTCAAGTCCTGGGACACTCTGAGGTCAGTGTCACCGGGCTGCCAACAGGCATTGAGACGTCAATGATGCAGGCCCTTGAAATGCAGCAAAGGTAGGACACAGGGTTATTCATATCAACAGTGTTTATTCATTGCAGAAGCCATTTCATGTGTTATCCATGCTCATTGTATTAAATTAATTTAATCAAAACAATAATTAAACTAGGCCTATGTATTTCCGTAGCATGGAGCCATCACAAGAACTGGGCCCATCAAGTTTGCCGACAAGATTGCCGCCTGAACCATCTGCAGCTGCTACTCAGGATAGCCCGGCGGATCAAACACCATTCCCATCCGCAGCACCTGCTCCGTCAGCATCCCTGCAGGAGAGAAGATTGCAACTCACAATTGATGTGTTTGAACAACAAAAAAAGTCCTTTCCCTTCAGGAGGAGTACTACAGCCTTAAAATGTAACACCTAAAAAATAAACCATTTAGAGATTGTGTTCTGTGTCTTGCATTTAACAATTACAGGTGATGTGCAGTAAAACTGTGGTAGTTCTTAATACCATCACATGTTATCAAATGACATGGGGCTACAGCTTGCCTGAAATGTAAATTTGTGAAGTTTGCCCTGTAAGGCAGTCCACTCTGGGCTAGGTTCCCCTGTGGAATGTGAATATCTTCTTCACCACCATCCTCATCGTTGTCTTCATCCTCATCGCCATCCTCCAGAGGTTCTGCAATCTGTCTAACCTTGCAAATATTGTGTAATATTGCACAGGCTATGATGACTTTGCTGACTTTCAGGCCTCAGCCGCACCTCTCCGTGGAGAACATGAAAGCACCTCTTAAGCTGGCCTATGCCACGCTCCACCACCGCTCTTGTTGTCTTGTGGGCCCTACAATAGAATACAGACCTTTAATTATTTGATGGAAATATTGCACTACTTGGATGCTCTAACATATTGCTTGCATTTCATTTCCATGATTTTTGTATTGTTTGGCTTACCTGTTATAGTTTAGTTGGGGCCCTTGGCGTGGCTAAGGTAAGGTGTAAGGAGCCATGGTTTGCATGGGTAGCCACTGTCCCCTAACAAGTGGCAATTAGCTGGCACATAGCGTCTCTCAAAAAGCTGTCCGATGCCACTCTCGGAGAGCATTCTCGCATCATGTGTGGAGCCTGGCCATTTAGCCACAATGTCCAAAATCTTACAGGCCGCATTGAACACTATTTGCACATTGATGCTGTGGAAATTCTTCCTGTTAACAAAGACAGCCTGGTCCTCTGATGGCGCAATTATTATCACATGTGTTCCATCAATTACACCCACAACGCCAGGGAATCCTGCAATGTCCATAAATGCCCTTTTATGTGTGTGTAAAGTGCGGGCATCCAGCGGGAATGAAACAAATTGTGTCACAATATTAGGTTGTGACAAAGCTGTCAGTGTTTGGGTGATGACTCTGCTGACGGAGGATTGGGACAGACCCAATTCATCACTGCTCCATTGTTGCATTTTCCCTGTTGCCAAATACCTCAGGGTTGTGATTACTTTCTTCTCCGGTGTAATAGCGTTGTGGCGTCGAGTTGGTGAAGTAATTGCATCTCTAAGGAGATCCACCACAAACATGATTCCTGCACGATCCAATCTGTAGTGTCTCAATAATTCCCTGTCATCCAGTGTTTACAGGACATCTCTCCTGCCTCTGTTGGCCATTTTGTGCAGCTGCTTAGGGGAACTCCTAAGCCACTAAAAGTCCTCTTCCCTGCTCTTAGCAGATCTCGCCTTAGGAGCCCTTTTAAGCGCTAGGAATCTTGAGGAATAGCTTTTATATTAACTGGGATTTTCGTGTCACTTTTAGGGGAAATTCTAAGAAAACGTCATGACTCTGAGAATTTTCTTAGAATTTGGCCGCTAGGAGCCACTTTTTGCACAAAAATTCTTTAGGGATACGGGCCCTGATTTCCAGAGAAACTATAGGGCTGCATGATTTTGGGAATACATTTTAGATATTGCTGGTTAAAATTTATTTTTAAAATGTACAAAATGCACACACACACACACACACATACATACACATCTCATTTCATAACATCATAACGAATGGAAACATTTGGAGTAAAAACATAAAGCCTAATGTTTGTCGCGTTTTGCTTTCAAACGGACTCAAACTCACAGCACGTGCAGGGAACATTTACTGAAGCGATTGAGCCACTCCAAACTATTAAACATTATTGTTAACATATTATACATCTGGGGTTTGAGCAGATATCCACAAACACAGTATTTAACAGTAAACACGGGTCTAAACATTATAATATTTACCTTGTTAGAGTAAACACTCGCGAGGCTACTTTTATCATGCTGTTTTATTATCGAACATAAAAATATCCTCGTGTGGTACATGTATACATTTAGCATTGAAAGGTTGCCTACCAGTCTAGTTCACATTTCAACATGTTTCTGTCTACATATAGAGACACATACATGTACGACATTAGACTTTTTACTCCAATTTCATTTCATAACGTACATTTTAGTCTGGCACCAGTTTAACATGTCTTACCTTAAAAATCTTCTCATCTTCAAATCGCGTTCGTCTAATTCTTCTGAGGTAAATCCAAGTGAAACAACACAGCACAAACACATCCAAACTCGATGAAAAGCAGAGAGTAAATTACTGAAGTCTAGTCTCCGATTCTTTGTTTTGAGGTGAAGAGGGCGTTAACAGTTTCGCGTTCCTCCGCGTGGATCATTTGCATCTGAACAGCTCTTGCGCGCGTGGGTGTGGTCACATTACAGTTAATTAGGACACGTTTGAGAAACTGTACATGTCGCTGCTTTCATACGGATAACTTAAACATAGAATATTTGTTTTTGATATAATTTGCATCATTTAAAAATAGAGACTCCAAGCGTTGTAAAGACATATGTTTCAAATCTGTGTGACAAACATTCGTTGAGTTAGAGATCATCTTCTGTCGCGTTTCAGAATGAACTTCACATTGAGCGAGACGGGAGAACGCGCATCATGTTAATTTTCTTTATTTTACGAAAAACACAACATTTTGTTTTTATTATAAGTGTACCCAAATAAAATAAGACATTTAACAGTTTTGAATGATGTATAACACTTATACGTAAGATCAAAATCAACAGAGTATTTTGAGTCTATTTTGCACTGATAAGAAAAAAAGCGAGCTGGTATCGCCGGCGCGACCGCCGACCCCAGGGGGTTAATTTACGCTTGCAATCTTATGTACACTTTTACAAATCTTACCCTGCCCATGCGATTCTTTATGGCATCATATTACCTTCATAGAGTTCCCTTTCGAAAGGGACTACATCAGGGGAAACACTCCACTATAGTATTACAGTTTTTTTCAATTGCTTAAGCACAATTTTGAAAACAGGGCCCGGTTTGTCAAAACACTACACACAATTAGCACAACCCTACACCAAAGTAGCACAACACTTCAGATCATTTGCAAAATGGAACACTTTTGTCAAAACTACACTTCATAAAAACAACATTTTGTTACCATACGAAACACACATTTCATATGACTTCAATCTTTTTGAACCAGTTACACACTGCTGTTGCTAATCTAAAACACTTTTAGCAAGTCTAATTCTCAGTGATTAGAGTACTGTAAATGAAGTACACAGAGAAAGTGTAACTATACAATAGTTCACCCAACACTACACAAGACCAATGCTGCAGTGCAGACTGAGGAAAATATCATTGATTTCTCTCCATATACCCAAATCAGTCAACATGTCAACATGGAGAATCACAACAAAACATGTCCCAGTTATCATGTTACTACAGTAGTGTGCATAACACTGTTAGCTCAGCAAACAACAGACAAACGTAAAATACTGTATCCAGTACAGGTTACAATTACAGTAAATAACAACAACAACAAACATAAAAAATAATCTGAAAAAATACCTGCTGCATTCTTATAGTGCTTAAACCTGATTGGTCTGTCTACAATTTAGCAATCATGTGTTTGTTTACCTGATGGCTGTGTTTAACAGATTGGCTCAGGTGTGGTAAATTGACAGTCAGTGCTTTGGAATTGCAAGGAAGTGACACCATGATATACTTCTGTGTCTGATGTATACAAGTGTGTTTAGTGTTTTGCAAATCACTGTGTGTAATGTTTTGCAAATAGTGTGAAGCTGACAATGTGCTTAGAGTTGTGCAAATCTAGCCCTGTGTTTTGCTCCTTGAGTGTAAGATTTTGCTAATTGTGGGAAAAGTTCAATTTTAGTGTGTAAGCAATCGTAAAAAAAACTGTAATGTAAGAATGAATTAATTTATTTTACATTAATCCTTTTTATTTTACATTACATTAATGATTTTCAGTTTTATGGTGGTAATTTTGACAAAATAGGCTCATAAAAAAAAATCGTATATGCAAAAGATATATCCTTTGATCAATTTGAAATCTGTGAACTCTTATTAGGGCCACTATGTCCACATTCTTGTAAAATGAGACAAGTAGCAATATCCATGTTGCTCAGCGGGGGGAGGCAATGAGCTCATAGAATCGAGGCATGTTGACAAAGCTGCTGAGTTCAGGACTGGGGTCTATGCCATCTGGACCCTGTGGACTACTGAAGCTGAACTTCTGAAGCAGAGACACGATGAACAGAAAGAGCTCCATACGAGCCAGAGACTCACCCACACAAGAGCGTTTACCTGAAGAGATGCAAGACCAAATAAAATTATTCATATTATTTATGATATAAGTTTTAGTATCACAATTTGGAGCTTAAAATTTGAAGCTATTCTCTGATTATATAGGTCTGTTTAAAACTTGATTTAAAAGGTGGAAAATAAATTGATGCAAGGTTATTCATGCTGTGAGTGAGTATGTGGCCCTGGTGAACCCATAGTTTGTGGGGAAAATATATAATTGTTTGGTCCCCATGAGGAAATAAGCTTATAAATAATACAGGATGATGTTTTTTGAAAATATAAAAATGCAGAAAGTTTTGTGTGATGGGCAGGTTTAGGGGTAGAGTTAGTGTTAGGGGAGAGAATATACTGTTTGGACAGTATAAAAACCATTCTGCTTTGGAGAGTCCCCACAAAGATTGTAAACCAAACGTGTGTGTGTGTGTGTGTGTGTGTGTGTGTGTTGTACTGAAATGTAGATAGGCTCAGTCCCATAACTCCAACTCATTTGCAAAGCTAGAAAGATAACTTTGATTAACTCTGGATTGACATGAGAGACTTTACAGAATTTACCTGCAGAAAAAGGGATAAAGGCTGGATTCTTTTTAAAGTTGCCATTGGCATCCAGAAAATGCTCCGGGTTAAATGTCCAAGGGGTTTCCCACTGTACCTCCTCCCTTAGGACAGAGTGCAGCATGGGAAGAATTACTGTGCCCTGGGGAAATAAAATAAATTCAAAATTACACAAAATATCCAGATTCAACACAATACACCAACTAGAGATTATTGGGAAATATTTTATGCATTTTCACAAATCTAGTAATTTCCAAGATAAGAGGAGATGACCATTGTATGTGTTCATTGTTACCTTTGGTATTACGTAACCTCTGAACATGATGTCATGCGTGGCATAATGGGGAAGATTTAGTGGGACAAGGTCCAAATACCGTTGTACTTCATGAATCACAGCATCAGTGAAAGGAAGGGACTTCCTGTCATCCATTGTAGGGATTCTGTTCTGTCCAATAACTCGATCAATCTCCCTCTGAATTTGCTCTAGATCAAATACACCAAATATTCATTGATTCAAATTATTATATATGATCAATAATTTAAAAAAAAAGACAGAAAGCAAATAATAAATATATCATAAGTACAGAATACTATCACAGTTACACCGTTTCTACACCAGATGAGAGCGGTGCAACAAAAACAAATAGAACCCATTATAATCAGTGATGCTGTCTACACTGGATGCGATGCATCACAACAAATTCCCCACGGTAAATTGATGCCCCGTTATATTTCTAACGTAATTTAAGTGCTCACGCTACTTCTGATATGAAGAACAAATGGATTTTCAATGGTCACGTTGTCACGTCCGGGATTGGACAGCTCTAGCTGTTTTGACGTGACAATGATCGAGTGCGGTGTTTACACACATTGTTAGGTAAAAAATGTATTTCTTGTATTAGTACTGACCCATGTAAAGCTAAAATCACACAACAAATGCAAGCCTTTTTCTCTGATATTTTAGACAAGAAGTGGAATCATGTAAATGGTAAATGGACTGCATTTATATAGCGCTTTCACAGACCCAATGGCCACCAAAACGCATTACATATTATTCCCTTACATTCACCCATTCACTCACTCATTCATACACCGACGGCGGTGTCAGCCATGCAAGGCGCCATCCAGCTCGTCGGGAGCAGCTGGGGTTAGGTGTCTTGCTCGTGGACACCTTGACACTTGGTCAGGTGGAACCGGGGATAGAACCACGTTCTATCCCCGTTTCAGTTTGTAGACAACCTACATGATCCACTGAGCCACTGCCGCCCCTATGTAGGCCTACTTATATTTTTATTATGTATTGATAATGTTAATGTTTTTTTCTCTCTACTTTTTTCTGACGTTCTGTCAAGGGTCTACAGATGAAAAATAGCCTTTTGGCCAAATTCTGGCACATTTACAGCCACGTTTATTAATGTGCACTGCCCTTGTCAACAAATAAACTTAAACTTAAGTCCAACACTCTTGTAGTATGCATATCTGTGAGAAATGATGATACAATATATTTCAGACTTGTTTAAACTTGTTTGAAATCTGGTGGATTATTCTTTGTGTGTGTGTACTGTACTGACAGTAGCAATGCATAACAGTGAAACTATGAGACTTTGATAGTGAAAGAGTGCATAAGAAAACAAGACATTGGGAAGTGGTAGCAAATAAAAATATATAATACATACATCTGTCTTAGTAAACTGTCTTATCTATATTTTTGTGTTGTGTGTGCGCCAACACAACACAAAATTAGACCGTGTGTCTTTTAGTGAGTAGAACAGTGATTCTCAGTCTTGTATTGTGTACTTAACAGCAAGGAGGGCAATTAGGGATGTCTTACGAACATACCCTGTATGTGGGGGTGTTTGATCATCATCATCAGGGCGTATCTGATAGTTGTGCTTGTGGTCTCTGTACCAGCTATAAACAGATTAATAACAGTCGCCCACATGTTATCCTTGTGGAATTCTGTGTCAGGATTGTGTTTCTCCTGCCGTACCACACAAAGAAACAGAACAGGAATTGCATACATTGTCTGAGTAAATGCTGAACAATGTGTATATAGAAGAGATAAGAGAAAAGAAAAGAAACAACCTTTCTGTACCTGTTTGAGTCTGATGAGGAAGCAGTCAATAAAGTCCTTCGGGTCACTGAAGTCCAAATTCTGCTCATGCTCCTTGATTTTTGTCATAATGAAGGCTTTGATGTCATCTACCTCTCTAAACATGGTATGATGACTACCAGGCAATAACTGCATTAGTTTAGGGAAGATGTTGTACAGCTGTTGGGGTTGAGAAAATAGTTAAGAAGACATTCACACAGTACATGGCCTTTGCATACAAAAACAGAATGCCCACTTTTGAAACTTCTGCTTACCTGGCCCCAAGGGCTGCTGACAAAGCGCACAAGTCTGGAGATGATCTGGAGCAAGTGCAGGAAGCTTTTGTCATCATAATCAAAGCGTTGCCCAAACACCAGGGAACAGATCACGTTGGACACAGCCCGGCTCAGGAAGAAGGTTGGGTCAACTGGTGTCGCTAAAGGAGAAAAACTTTTTAGCATACAACTCTCACAGCTGTGAGTGCAGAACACTCAATGTATACCACTGCACTTGTACTGAACTCATAGGATGCAAATGTCAAATGCTCTCTTTCCTCACATTTGGTTTCTTCAAAACTGTTCAGCAAATGTAGTTTCTCATCTTGAATCCACTGTTCCATTCGTTTGCGTCCCATTCCAAAATCCCTCAGTGTGGTGAGAGTGAACCGCCTCAGTTGAAGCCAACGATCTCCATTACTGATAGTCAAACCTACAAACATTTGAGATAGATTGAAATCTAGACTAAACAACATTAAACTGACAACATCTGTCTTTGACAACAATGAACAATAATCTCACCGTAGCCTCTCAGAATTGTGTGCAGAAAGGGAATGGGGGCTCGGTCTTTGAAGTCATCTGCCTGGTCCACTAGAGCCTCTTTCACTGTATCATAACCGACCAGAACCACCACTCTTTGAGGCCCGAGGTACACCGTCATCACAGGCCCATAGGTTTTACTCCACTGTTGAGAGAATAGAATTTACTGTTACACACCAGTGCAAACTTATCAGGTGTTTCTGAGTATTTCATACTATATGTAATTTGCTAAACTAAAACCAATGTTTCACAAACAACAATTAATCTCTCTATGCCAGTTTTATTCACCAAAGGCAACTGCATTGATGCACTGGTAAAACATCTGCACAATATATTCAAATGCAATGCCTTACAATACCCTGCAATTCAAGTGCTCATATTTGAAGCATAACATTCAGAAGTGCATGATCCTGCTTACCTTCATAAAGCTTTTAAAGGGTGCACGCTTGTCCATTATTGGCAAGTTTCCCATCAGTGGCAGTGCCAGCGGCCCAGGGGGCAAAGAACCCTTATGAAAAGAAAATATATTTCCCCAATATATGAATGATCAATATATTAATTGGTTTAACAGTATATTTGAAAATATACAGAATAATATATTGTTAAAATATTACAATATATTGAATAATATATAAGGAATTGCCGCTTTTTATATATTGAAACATATGTGACAATATATTTACTAATATATCATAATGTATGTAATTTTATATTCAGTAATACACCTCATAATATATAGATGTATATGTGATTAGATATGGTACTGCATGTGCAGATATACAGGTCCTTCTCAAAAAATTAGCATATTGTGATAAAGTTCATTATTTTCCATAATGTAATGATAAAAATTAAACTTTCATAAATTTTTGGATTCATTGCACACCAACTGAAATATTTCAGATCTTTTATTGTTTTAATACTGATGATTTTGGCATACAGCTCATGAAAACCCAAAATTCCTGTCTCAAAAAATTAGCATATTTCATCCGACCAATAAAAGAAGTGTTTTTAATACAAAAAAAAAAGTCAACCTTCAAATAATTATGTTCAGTTATGCACTCAATAGTCAATACTTGGTCGGGAATCCTTTTGCAGAAATGACTGCTTCAATGCGGCATGGCATGGAGGCAATCAGCCTGTGGCACTGCTGAGGTGTTATGGAGGCCCAGGATGCTTCGATAGCGGCCTTAAGCTCATACAGAGTGTTGGGTCTTGCGTCTCTCAACTTTCTCTTCACAATATCCCACAGATTCTCTATAAGGGTTCAGGTCAGGAGAGTTGGCAGGCCAATTGAGCACAGTAATACCATGGTCAGTAAACCATTTACCAGTGGTTTTGGCACTGTGAGCAGGTGCCAGGTCGTGCTGAAAAATGAAATCTTCATCTCCATAAAGCTTTTCAGCAGATGGAAGCATGAAGTGCTCCAAAATCTCCTAATAGCTAGCTGCATTGACCCTGCCCTTGATAAAACACAGTGGACCAACACCAGCAGCTGACATGGCACCCCAGACCATCACTGACTGTGGGTACTTGACACTGGACTTCTATGGCGTTATTCCCCTGTCAAATGCCGAGAGCGCATTATTGTAGCGCGAAAGTACATTCATATAATGTGCGAGCGTGAATCTCTCTGCTCGCGCGCGGAATATGATGTGCCGAGCGCGAATCTCTCTGCTCACGCGCGGAATATGATGTGCCGAGCCCGAATCTCTCTGCGCACGCGCGGAATATAATGTGCCGAGTGCGAATCTCTCTGCTCGCGCGCGGGAACTGGGCACGCACTCTCAGATACACTTCTCTTGTAAGAATTCTCTCTCTGGGCTAAGTGGGCTCGCTCAGAGAATATGCCTGCACTTAAAACGTGTTCAGTGCAATCGCGAATCTCTCCTCTTCCCCAGCTAACAATTTTAGGTTATAAGAACGTTTTCATAACGTTCCCATTAAGTTATAAAAACTTTATTTCTGGATGTTCTAGGGAATTTCAAAACGTCCAGTTTTTTAGACGTTGTATTAACGTTATTTCTTGGTTATAAGAACGTTCAATTCTCCCGTTATATAAACGTTGGTTGTATTAACGTTATTTCCTGTTTATAATAACATTAGAACGTTCAATTCTCCCTTTATATAAACGTTGTATTAACGTTCTTGCTTGGTTATAAGAACGTTATTCAAACGTTCAATTCTCCCATTATATAAACGTTCTCTTAATGTTTTTCTAAGATAATGAAAAACGTTTCATTCAATAAAAAAACATTAAGAAAGGTTTTAATAATTATTAAAACCTTTCTTAATGTTTTTTTTATATAAGAAGGTAGCCTATATAATAGGCCTATATGAAGAACCTAAAACAAGAACTTTCAGATTTTAAAATTAAGACAAATTTTTTAAAAAAGACCCATGAATCATGTCTATAATATGTGTAATGTAGTCCACTGAAGTTGAGTTGAATTGAACCCAAGTATAGTTTATTCCAATAATCCGATTTGGGTTGAAGTGACAATATGAAATTAACATGAACAAACTTGGACTAAACATAGAATCACCAACAATGGTACAGGGAACAAAGCTAGACAAGAGACAATGGGAACACAAGGACAAGGATTATGACCAAAAACAACCAATGACATTCACAAGTTCAAAACACATTCAAAACCTACATAACATAATGGAATAGCAATTTCTGATTGGTTGTTGCCGTTTTGACAGCGTTTATGCCAAGAGCAAAGAGAAAGAAATCGAAGAGAAGAGTAATTAGGCATGCGCGAACGCACGGGCACATACACGCTTACTTTAAGCGAAGAGGAGAGATTCGCGATTACACTGAACACGTTTTAAGTGCAGGCATATTCTCTGAGCTAGCCCAAAGAAAATTCTTACAAGAGCAGCGTGTATATGAGCAGAGAGATTCGTGTTGGCACATTATATTCCGCGCGCGAGCATTGAGATTCACGCTCTCGACATTTGACAGGGAAATAACGCCATAGACTTCAGGCATTTTGGCATTTCCTTCTCCCCAGTCTTCCTCCAGACTCTGGCACCTTGATTTCCGAATGACATGCAAAACTGAGCAACAGTCCAGTGCTGCTTCTCTGTAGTCCAGGTCAGGCGCTTCTGCCGCTGTTTCTGGTTCAAAAGTGGCTTGACCTGGGGAATGCGGCACCTGTAGCCCATTTCCTGCACACGCCTGTGCACGGTGGCTCTGGATGTTTCTACTCCAGACTCAGTCCACTGCTTCCGCAGGTCCCCCAAGGTCTGGAATCGGTCCTTCTCCACAATCTTCCTCAGGGTCCGGTCACCTCTTCTCGTTGAGCAGCGTTTTTTGCCACACTTTTTCCTTCCCACAGACTTCCCACTGAGGTGCCTTGATACAGCACTCTGGGAACAGCCTATTTGTTCAGAAATTTCTTTCTGTCTTACCCTCTTGCTTGAGGGTGTTAATGATGGCCTTCTGGACAGCAGTCAGGTCGGCAGTCTTACCCATGATTGCGGTTTTGAGTAATGAAACAGGCTGGGAGTTTTTAAAAGCCTCAGGAATCTTTTGCAGGTGTTTAGAGTTAATTAGTTGATTCAGATGATTAGGTTAATTGCTCGTTTAGAGACCCTTTTCATGATATGCAAATTTTTTGAGATAGGAATTTTGGGTTTTCATGAGCTGTATGCCAAAATCATCAGTATTAAAACAATAAAAGACCTGAAATATTTCAGGTGGTGTGCAATGAATCTAAAATATATGAAAGTTTAATTTTTATCATTACATTATGGAAAATAATGAACTTTATCACAATATGCTAATTTTTTGAGAAGGACCTGTATTTACTTAAGCAAGCATAAAGACATATATTGAGAAATGTTTAATGTACTATATTTCTTATATTTTATAATTATTTGAATTATAAATATTTCATATTTTTAAGCTGGTTAACAAAAGCACAAGCACACCTGCATGTACTAACATGTACTAGCATTTATTCAAGAGACTATCACTGTACTGAGGAGTGTGCTGTTAATTTTTTCAAAATATAGTCATTATAGTCTTAAGGGTGTTTGGCCAATTATCAACCGAACCACAAGTTCTACTCTTCAGCACAATGACCCCAAAAACTCCTATCATCAAAACCTTTCATTCCGTGTGTGTGTATATATGTGTGAACATACATTCACATTTATATTGGAACATGTATTGGTAATATATGTACACAATAAAGAATATAACTTTATGAATATTACATGTAATGCTATTTTTGTCTTCATTTATAAATAATTTAAATGTATTAATATATAGCCATACATGGTCAATGCATATATTGCAGTATATTAAAAAATCCGTAAGGGAAAGTCCACTCGCCTTTCTTTTCCATTTGACCAACACCAACACAGCCAAGACTAAAACCAACACCAATGAGCCAAAGAGTTCCATCCCTTTTCTCCAAAATGTTCCTTACAGTCCACTAGCCCAGTTTATATCTTTATATGTCCTTCTCTCAGTTTAGTGTTCTATACAAAGAAGGACAGAACAATAAGAGGTGGTTCCAGTATGAGTGGGACAGAGGTAAAGCATGTGATCAAAAACCTGCTTGTGCACTTTCATCAGAGTGCACCATAGATCTTTATCATTGGTTGCTTATGCTGTTTTTTTGTTTGTTTTTTATCTTATGTACACTGTAAAAAGTGAAGATGTGCAGTTGTTGCTTTAAGAAGGTATTTTGGGAACACTTTACAATAAGGTTCATTGGTTAGCATTAGCTAATGTATTAACTAACATGGACTAACCATGAGCAATATATGTGTTATTGTATTTATTAATATTTGTTAATGTTAGTTAATAAAAATAAAGCTGTTCATTGTTTGTTCATGTTAGTTCACAGTGCATTAACATGAACAACTATTAATAAATTCTGTAAAAGGGTTTATTCATTCATTATTAGTTTGCTAACTAATTTATTTCATTAATGTTAACTAATGAACCTTATTGTAAAGTGTTACCGGTATTTCCACCGGATTCTACCAATATTCTAATTTTGTCGTTTTAACCTACTTCAATCATTTTGATGTAACATATGTAGTGTTCTTGTAGCCTGGTCCCAACTGATAAGTCATGCTTTAATGTGATGTTCTAAGTAATATTGTCTATGGAATTAAGTGGTATTTAAAGGAATGGGTAATATTGGAATACTGCTATTGTGTCCATCTGAGAGTGAAACAAGCTGCTTATGATTGTCAACGTATAATTTTTGGTTTCTTTTCAATGTTTTGTTAATTCATATGGCTATTTTTGATGGGGTTTTTCATTTCACTGTGAAATTAAGCAGCATTACAGTTTTTCTCGATTGCTTAAACACATTTGCCCTCTCTGACATCACATTTTCAAAACAGTTAACACACTGTACATAAAACTGAAGCTCAATGGCCAAAATGATTCATTTTGTTAGCAAAATGCTCTAACACTCACAAAACATTAAAAACATGCAACATAAGCAAATATTTCCATCAAACACCACAACTTGTGGTCAAATTAATTTATTCTTTCAATCAATCATTAAACAATGGACAATAAAATACAGCCATCAATATGGAATATGAGACTTTACAAACTCAAAATGGATACTGTATATATTAGTGCTGCCGCACCATGCAAATTAGTCGACGGCAATTTTTTTAGTCGACGTGTCGTTTTACTATTGACCGCATATATATTTTTGGTCTCCCGTCTCAAACGGCTCACTGTAATTCACCTCCACACCAGTCTGTGCGCTGTGCGCGCCCTGCTGGTTAAGCTGCCATCCTCTTCCTTCCCCCTCCCCCACCTTCACTGCTTTGATATGAAAAATTGCGGAGGCAGGTGACGGTGCTTTCACACTGGGCTCGTTTGCTGCGGTCCGAGCCCGTGCGCGATTGTTCCCGGTGTTGTGCCGAATTTCGAACCCCGCCAAATTATTACCCCCCTAGCATTGGTAGGTTTAGGATTAGTTGTGGGGGAGGGGATAGGATTAGGGGCGGGGTTGGGATTAGGCAATCAGGTACTGACTTCAACGAGGGGGGTAATAATTTGGCAGGGGGGCGAAATTAGGCACAACACCGGCGCCCCCGCAGCGTTGGTCTGGTTTCACACTCAACTTAATTCTACCGAACCCTGGTGTGTTTGCGTGCATCTTACCCCATCGCAAACGTGCACGGCGCATGATAGAAAACAGAACGCGGGTCAATATATATATATATTTTTTTTTAAATTAACTCTGTGCTATTATGCGCAGCTGAGTGAACAACACAGGTGCGTGTGTCGCATAAGGTGGCCTTCTGCTGCTTGCAAACGGACTCTTTTGAGGAGACTCTTTTCCAAATTTGTTGCCCTGATTCCACACGCTAAGCGCGAATACACTGCAGACTTGCTCTCGCTCGTATCCAAGGTAAATCATCAACACTATCATCCCTTACATGTGTTTTATTTAACTAAATACATAATCAGCTAAAACACGCACCCGAGTCCGTGTTGCTTTCACATTCACTCGAACCGCGGCACGGGCCTGGCATGCACGCAAGTGTAAACGCGAGCGGCATAGCTGAATGCCTGCCTGCTTTCAGCGCGATTTATTATAAGGCAGAGCTAAGCGTAGTAGGCTAGTCCAGACTCTTTCAATTAAATTCCAATTTATTTGTATAGCGCTTTTCACAATACATATTGTTTCAAAGCAGCTTTACCTAAAATGCATGCATTGCATCTACTTTAGCCTACAATTCAGAGTGATGTTATCAGTTATGCATTTCAGAAATGTACATATAAAAATGTACAGTAAGCTAATGTATTACAGTTTTTTTGGATTGCTTAAGCACGATTTTCAAAACAGGGCCCGTGTTTTCAAAACACTACACACAATTAGCACAACCACACACCCAATTAGCAAAACACTACAGATCCGTTGCATAATTAAACACTCTTCTGTAAAAACTATACACTTCTGTTTAAAAACCACACTTTGTTACCATATGAAACACACGTTTCACATTACTATACTCTGTTTGCACGAGTTACACTCTGCTGTGATAAACCTAAAACACTTTTAGCACTTCTACTTCCCTTTGATTAGAGTAGGCTACCATCAACACAGTACAAATATAATGTAAATTCACCAAACACTACACAAGACCAATGTTGCAGACTGAAGAAACTATAAGTATACAATAGTACAGTAATTTCACAGGAAAAGGTAACAGAAGTGCTGATAGTGCATAGAATACAGTACTGTAAGCAGTTACTGAAACCGTGCAGATGTTTTTGATATGATGATATTTTTACAATACCTATTTTCCAGTCGAAATGTTCTTTTCACACTTGCCACTGTGTATCCACTTAGATTTGGCTGTACTCGCAGTCCAGCCTTCCTCAGCGTCAGGCCGTGGTTGACAACATGGTCAACCAGTGTTGCGCGGATCTCATTTGTCAGATTCGGTCCTCTTTGAGCACCTTCTTGTCTTCCTCTTCCTCTACCTCTACCTCCAGCATGCCCTCCATCTCTTCCTCTTCCTCTGTTGATTCCTCTTCCTCCTCCTCCTCCCCTCCCCTCCCCTCCCCTCCCCTCCCTCCTCCTCCTCCTCCTCCTCCCCCTCCCCTCCCCTCCCCTCCCTCCTCCTCCTCCTCCTCCCCCTCCCCTCCCCTCCCCTCCCTCCCTCCCTCCTCCTCCTCCTCCTCCTCCCCCCCTCCCTTCCCTCCTCCTCCTCCCCTCCCTCCTCCCCTCCCTCCTCCCCTCCCCTCTCCTCTCCTCCTCCTCCCCCTCCCCTCCCCTCTCCTCCTCCTCCTCCCCTCTCCTCCTCCTCCCCCACTCCTCCTCCTCCTCCCCCACTCCTCCTCCTCCTCCCCCCTCCTCCTCCCCTCCCCCTCCCCTCCCCCTCCTCCTCCTCCCCTCCCCCTCCCCCTCCTCCTCCTCCCCTCCCCCCCCCCTCCCCTCCCCTCCCCTCCCTCCTCCTCCTCCTCCTCCTCCCCCTCCCCTCCCCTCCCCTCCCTCCTCCTCCTCCTCCTCCCCCTCCCCTCCCCTCCCCTCCCTCCCTCCCTCCTCCTCCTCCTCCTCCTCCCCCCCTCCCTTCCCTCCTCCTCCTCCCCTCCCTCCCTCCTCCCCTCCCCTCTCCTCTCCTCCTCCTCCCCCTCCTCCCCTCCCCTCCCCTCTCCTCCTCCTCCTCCCCTCTCCTCCTCCTCCCCCACTCCTCCTCCTCCTCCCCCACTCCTCCTCCTCCTCCCCCCTCCTCCTCCCCTCCCCTCCCCCTCCTCCTCCTCCCCTCCCCCTCCTCCTCCTCCCCTCCCCCCCCCCCCCCCCCCCCCCTCCTCCTCCCCTGGGAAAGTGGCCAGGCTCGCGATCCTCAGGGTGCAGGACCCGCGTTTGCCGAGGCAGCGCGGAGAATGCATTCCTGTGGATCGCGAATAGGATCTCTTTACGGGGTTGGAGACGGGTCCGCGGATCTTATCTCCTCCCTTTCCACGAGGGATCCAGTGCTCTCTCGCCAGTCTCGGAAGCCCGTCCAGTGCTCTCTCGCCGGTCTCGGAAGCCCGCGCTGCGGTCTCTTCCGCCCGGGGAGAGAAAGCAATGCGTCAGTGCTCTACCTCCGAGGAGGTAGATGTGCTGGGCATTGAAAGTGACACAATCATGGAGGAAGTGGATTTGCCATCTCTTCCCCAGCGTATGAGAAATATACATAGCCTATATATTAGGGGTGGGAATCTTTGGTCACCTCACGATCCGATCCGATTCCGATTCTGGGAGTCACGATCCGATTCCAGAACGATTCTTTATCTACCTTTCCCCACCTCATTAATTCATTAGTTTACTTAAGTAGGCCTAATTAAGTACTTTTTAAAAAATAATTACATTTTTTTTTTTTTTATTAGTTAAGAATTTTAAACTAATATAACTAATATAACAAATAATAAAGAGGAGCATAGAAAAATATAACAAACAACAAACAAAAAGTGCTTTCAGTAGCCTATAGATTATCTGAACGTTTTCCATTCAAGAATTGTGAGTGATTTTTCTTCATCTTTACTGTTGTTTTTTACTATGACATCATAGACTGCGGGAGATCTATTAAGCTGCATTCACGCACGCATCTCTTTTGATATAAAAGAAGTAATGCGCTGTGTCCTGTCCGTTTAATCCCTTAAGACATAACTGGCTGTGTTTACGTTAATTTTGCACAAGTACATTAAACCACTACACGGAGTCGCACAGCCGCATGCGCGAGCAGTCTCACGACACAAACAAAGCGCGCGTCAGCATTTGAAATTGAAAGCAGCCTTCTGTTAGTGAGGTTCATATTTTAAATATATAAGTCCACTGCATTCCAAACCACATAAATGATGACTTCGTAGAGCATTTGTAAGGAAAATACCGACGGGCGAGACAGCACACTTCAAGTGTAACATCAAAGAAAGCG